GGGCGGGGGACAGCCCCCCAGGGCTCCGCCTGTGCCCAGGACGTATGAACCGCTGGGGAGCATCCGCCCGGAGCCGTGGACAGGGGCAGGGCCTGAGCGGGCGGGGGACAGCCCCCCAGGGCTCCGCCTGTGCCCAGGACGTATGAACCGCTGGGGAGCATCCGCCCGGAGCCGTCTCCTCCCGCAGCCCCTGGCCCTGAGCTGGCGCTTCAGAGGAGGCCCGGGTGCCAGCGGGCAAGGGCAGACAGCTGCCTGACCCTCCGGGCTGCCTGGCTCCTGCCCCAGAGAAGCAGGTGGGGCTGGGCCAATACAAACCACAGCTGCCTTAGAGGATGTCAGGGTTTTTCCAGGCTGGGGCTCCCTGGGCAGCCTAGAACCCGTGCCCGCAGAGCTGCAGCCATGGGGCGGTCTCTGAAGCCCTCTCCCCGCTGCCCAGGGCGCTCGTGCCAGGGTCTCGCTGGCTCCCTGCGGCTTCCGTCGCCAGTGCCTGAGAACGTCGGTGATTTTGTGTAGACTCTGCCTCAATTCCCCCCCGGCTGGGGTGGAGCTGGAATAAAGCTTCACATCTCAAGCTCCGGGCCTCGGCGCTGCTGTCCCTGGGCAACAAGTTCCCTGGGGAAGGATCAGGCCAGTGGGGCTGTGCAGATAGCGCCGCACTACGGTGCCAGCACCCAGCACGGCCAGTGCCTGAGAACGTCGGTGATTTTGTGTAGACTCTGCCTCAATTCCCCCCCGGCTGGGGTGGAGCTGGAATAAAGCTTCACATCTCAAGCTCCGGGCCTCGGCGCTGCTGTCCCTGGGCAACAAGTTCCCTGGGGAAGGATCAGGCCAGTGGGGCTGTGCAGATAGCGCCGCACTACGGTGCCAGCACCCAGCACGGGGTGCCCAGGCCTCGCTCCTCCCACCTGCCTGGTGCAGCCCCTGGCTCCCGGCTGCAGGGCCAGGCCTGCGCGAGGGCTCCTGCCAGCCGTCGTGCAGGAAGGGAGCCTGGCTCCAGGAAGGCCCCTTGTGGCTGGGGGGCCCCGCG